GAGGCCCCTCCCAGCCCCGACATCCCCTGTTCTGAGGCCCCTCCCAGTCCAAAGCTAAATTCGGTGTCCAAACCCCTTCTACTGCAGCTCTGACAGTCTAGACCCAAAGGTGCCTTTTAACTCAGACCTTTCAAGCTCTGACAACCTCTGATTATATTTCTTTCCTAACCTTCCCTCTCGGGCTTTCCACACTCTCCCTTTGTTATCCATGTGTGTCCACATTCACTTCCGCATTTAGAATACACACTAACAAGTCCGGCAACGGCCTCCCCTTGAACTGGGAGTCTGGCAGCTGAGAGACCAACAGAACTACTCATCAGGAGACGTGGGCTTCCAGACCTGGCATCCTGATCTCACCCTTCTGGGCCTGTTCCCAAGAGATCGTCAGCTGCTCACCTGGTGGGAAGCTGACCTGAGCTGATCCCCAGTCCAAGGCCTGAGCTCCAAGCTGGACAACTGCTAATTCAGCCTGAACCCTAGGAACCTAGAGATCAGCCAGGCTAACCCTCCCATTTTACAGACCAAGAAACTGAGGCAGAATGAAGCGTGCTATTTTCCTGGGTCACACTAAGGTAGTAAGCAGCAGCAGCAGCAGGACGCAAGCCCGCGCTCCAGCCTCCGCACACACTATTCTTTCTCCCATGCCTGCCCTTCTTGGGGGAGTCGAGGGGGAGACCTCTGACCCTGGCTCTCTGGGGCTCCGCTGCCGATGCAGAATCTCTCTCCTCATCCCCTCCTCATCACCCTAAGGTGCCCTCATACCTCCCACGCTGGTGCTAGAGCCGCCAGTTTGGCCCGGCAAGTGGAAGAAGGGGAAGCTTTTTCATAGCCATCCTCAGCCACCCTGCAATGCTGATTGTCAAATCTTCCTTCCCCAAGTCTCGGCCAAGGCCAGTTGTGGTCACACATGTTCTTGGGCAAGTGGCCCGTTTCCTCCTGTTCCAGGACCAGCACAGTGGAGTTGGGGGGGGAGGAAGATAAAGTTGCTCTGCGCTGGAGCACTTAAGGCCGACGGACGTGAGCACAGCAGGCTGGTGAGGCAGATGGGGGGGGCGGGTGATGGGGCTGCTCTGGGACGTGAGCTTTGCCTGGCAGGATGAAAGACGTGAAGACCTCGGGGGAGAGGTGGGGAGATGTGCCAGTGCACCCCTGGGAGTGAGATGGCTGGCACGAGGCCCCGGACACAACTCTGGGAAATACACTCACACTTAGGAGGAAGCAAACCCCAAAGGTGGTCAATGCCGCAGGAGGGAAATCAGGAGTGTCCATTACCAGGGAAGTGAGGAGAGAGGCGGGGTCACTGGGCATGGGCATGAGGTCATGGGGTGGGCCCTGCCAGCTCGGACATCTGCTCTCTCTGCCATGTTACAGTCGTCATCCCAGCTCTGGCTTTGGCCTGTGGCTTACAGACTCATCCCCAACCACCTGGTGCTGAGTCACACAAAGAAAGCGTCTGAGGTTTTCCCTGATGAGGCAGCTGCTGTTCTCAGTATCAGAAGCTAAGAACTCTTCCCTGTCTCACTGAGTGCTCTCTGCCCCATTCTCAAGCCCAAGCCAGGAGACCAAGGTACACTCTGGTCAGGGGGGCCAGAGGCACTAACTGGCTTGTTGGGGGGGGGGGAATGAAGAGCGTGATACCAGGTCCATCCCCGCAGAGGCTCCAGGAAGGTGTCATGCAGGCACCATGGGAGAGGAGCTGCAGCTGTGGGTGGTGCCACGCTTGGGTCATGGGTTACTCTCGAGGAAGGGAGGAGTCAGTTTGACAGGGTAGGGGAAGGCACAGGGGACTGACCAACAGAAACCACCTGGCCACTTACTGCCTCTGCCCACATCACATCTCTGTTTGTGTGAATTATGTGCCCCTCCCTCCCCCTTCCAGGCACCTGTAACCTAGGATTTCTTTTTATCTTTGTATGCCAAAGACCTTAAACATGGCAGGTATTTATTTAATAAAGGGTTTTCGACTGTGGTTTTATAACCTTGGGCAAGTCAATCCCCATGGGCCTGAGTTTTTTCATCCACCAATGTGAGGCTGGAACCTGAAATCCTACACTCTCATTCCTGCCTCAATGCTTCTGCTCAGGCATCCTTCACCTGAAATCCCTTTTCTTTTCCTTGGCAATCCATAGCTCCCCCATCTCCTTCCAGGGCAAGGATCAGAGCTGTTCATAGTGCTAAGACTGATGACAGTGGGCTTTCTAACACTATTCTCAAGGACTGGGATAAAGGCATAGAGGGCATGGTGACACCAACGGGAAGGCACAGGTAACATCCTGGACAACTGAGTCAGAACCCAAAGGGTCACCCTTACCAGGCTGGAAGATGAAATTCAGCAGAGAGAAATATCTAACTTTGTACTTGGGAACTAAGAATGGGAGTGGCCTGGCTAAACAGCAGATCTGACAAAGCATTTATATTGCACCTACTATGTGCCAGGCATCGGGCTAAGCACTTTTAAAATTTCTTACAGTTTTCATCTCACTTACAAATATTGTCTCCTTCCATCCCCGCCATCTCCTTAGGTCTCTTCTGCTTATGTCTCTGTCACCACAAAGGTGTGGTTACCGATCTAGATCGAGCCAGACATCCTGGAGAATGAAGTCAAGTGGGCCTTAGGAAGCATTCAACAATAGGGCTAGTGGAGGTGATGGAATTCCAGCTGAGCTATTTAAAACCCTAAAAGATGATGCTGTTAAAGTACCGCACTCAATATGCCGGCAAATTTGAAAAACTCAACAGGTGGCTACTGGCTTGGAAAAAATCAGAAGGGCAATGCCAAGGAATATTCAAATCACTGAACAGCTGCCCTCATTTCATATGCCCCCAAGGTTATGCTCAAGATTTTGCAAACTAGGTTTCAGCAACATGTGAGCTGAGAATCACCAGAAGAACATGCTGGTTTTCAAAGAGGCAGAGGAACTAGAGACCAAATTGCCAGCATTCCCTGGATTATGGAGGAAGCAAGGGAGCTCCAGAAAAACATCCACCTCTGCTTCACTGACAACACTGTGTGGATCACAACAAAATGTGGCAAATCCTCAAAGAGACCGGGGCGGGGCGGGGAGGGGTGCACCACATCATCTGACTTGTCTCCTGAGGAACCTGTATGTGGGCCAAGAAGCAACAATTAGCACCAAACATGGAACAGTTTTAACGGGTTTAAGATGGGAAAGGAGTATGACATGGCTATAAGTTGTTGCTTTATTAATTTAATTTATTTGCAGAGTACATCATGTGAAATGCCAGACTGGACGAATAAAAAGCTGAAATTAAGATTGCCGGGAGAAATATCAACAGTCTCTGATGCGTAGACGATACCACTCTGATGGCAAAAAGTGAAGAGGAATTAAGAAGCCTCTTGATGAGGGTGAAAGAAGAGAGTGTAAAACATGAAAAAAAAAACTAAGATCTTGGCAAATGGATTCTCATCACTTCCTGGCAAATAGAAGGAGAAGAAATGGAAGCAGCGTCAGATTTTATATTCTTGGGCTCAAAGATCCCTGTTGATGGTGACTACAGCCATGAAATGAAAAGACGCCTGCTCCTTGGACAGAAAGCCATGGTGATCTGGACAGCAGACTAAAAAGCACAGACATCCCCTTTCCCAGAAAGGGCCATATAGTCAAAGCTATGGTTTTTCCAATAGCAATGTATACCTGTGAGAGGTGGACTGAAGGAAAACCGAGAGCCACAGAATCAATGCTCTCGAATTGTGGTGCCGAAGAAGACCTTCGAGAGTCCTCTGGACAGAAAGGAGGTCAAATTGGTCAATATTTAAAGAAATTAATTCAGGCTATGCGCTGGAAGGTCAAATACTGAGGCTGAAGCTTAAATACTTTGGCCACATAATGAGAAGAGGGGACTCACTAGAAACGACCCTGATGTTGGGAAAGACTGAAGGCCAAAGAAGAAGGGGCCGGCAGAGGACGAGATGGATAGAGAGTGTCATGGAAACAACGAGCATGAGTTTGGACAGACTTGGGGAGATAGTGGAGGACAGAAGGGCCTGGCATTTTATGGTCCAGGGGTCAAAGAGTCAGACACGACTGAACTAGACACCTTAAATTCAACATGTCCAAAATGGAACTCATCATCTTTCCCCTCCTCCTAGCTTCCCTATTCCTGTTGAGGGCACCTCCATCCTCTCAGCCCCCAGACCCACACAATGGGACTCATCCTGGACTCCTCAATAGCTCTGACACCCCCCCCCCAACACACACATCCAAGCTGATGCCAAAGCCTATCAATTTAACTTCTGTACTACGCCCCCTTCTTTCCTCTGCCCCTGCCCCCCACCTCACACCTGGTGCAGGCCCTCATCACCTCACACCTGGACTACTGCAATGGCTGCAGGGGGAGGTCTGCCTGCCTCTGGTCTCTTCTTATTCTGGACCATGCTTCAGCTGCCAAAGTGATTTTCCTAAAGGGCAGATTTGATCATGTCACCACACCCCACTCCCTACCTGCCCACTCTCCAGTGGGTCCCTATCGCCTCTAGGAGCAAAAACAAAATGCTCTGGTTGGCATTCAAAGCCCTTCATGAGCTAGCCCACCCCACCATTCCAGTCTCTTTACACCTTACTCCCCTACAGGTACTCTTGATCAGTGACCCCAGCCTCCTGGCTGTTCCACAGATAAGACCCTCCCTCTCTCGGCTCTGAGTGTTTTCGCTGGCCATCCCCCACGCCTGGAACACTGACCTTTATGTCCCAACTAAAACTCTACCTTCTGCAGGAAGGATGCCTTCCCCAACCACCCTTCCCCCTTAATTCTGCTGCCTTCCCTCTGTTCTTTATTTCCTATTCATCCTATCTACAGTTGGCCTTGTACATATTTGTTTGCATGTCGTCTCCCCCTTAGATCAAAAGGTCCCTGAGGGCAGGGATGTATTTTAGCCTCTTTCTGTATCCCTAGGGGTTAGTACAGTGCCTGGTACATAGTAGGAGCTTAATAAAAATGTTTGCTGATTGATCGATCCTTTGATCTGGGGTTTAGTGGACAGCCAATTCCATCGGTGTCAGTAATGTGATGTGGCTGCCAAAAGAGTTAATTCAGTCTTGGGCTGCATGAAGAAAGGCTCAGCCTCCAGGAACAGGGAAGTGATTGTCCCTACTGGGATAGTCAGCTTTCATCAGAGGGCTGTGTTCTGTTCTGGGCACCCTGGCTTAAGAAGGGCACTGATAAGCTGAAGAGTCCCGAGGGGGCAGCCAGGATAGTGGAGGGCCTGGGGTCAGAATCACGGAAGGATCAGCTGAAGGAACTGAGCGTGTCCTGTAAAGAGGCCAATTAGGCTGGCTATCAGGACAAGCCCCTCACAGTCACAGCTGGGCCATAATGGGACACCCCGAGGGAGGTGGTGGGCACCAGTGAGCAGGGCTCTGTGTAATGGCGGGACTTCCTTCGCTTCAGATGTGGACCAGACTAGGTGGGGGATCGCTAATGTCCCTGACTCATCAGGCTCCATTCCCTGATTCCGCAATACTGGCCTCACAGCAGCTGCTGTGGATGGCCCCAGCCCGCCTCAGGGGCAGCACAGAATGGACAGTGATTCCTAAAGATGACATTGAACAGGTCAGGGCACAGGAAACAGCCACTTATATTTGTATAGAGCAGAAGTTCCCAAACATATGGCCAATGCCCCCTTTAAAAAAAAAAAATTACTCATCGCCCACGTGAAAACCTACTTTCTTTAATCCTTTAATGGTTTTTTGAAATTTGTATCATTTCAAAAAATATAAAACACATTTTTAAAAAAATTATGCATCTTAAATTTAATAATTTATTGTAGATTTGTGGGTTTTCTGCATTGAAATTTTGATGATGTAATATTATATCATGTAACCATATAGTATCATATTGTAAACAAGTCATTACATGCACATATTCCTGCTGATGTATGCTGGACTTCCCAACAATGCGCAGCACACTCACCTGCCAACACTTGCTTGTTAAGACCTGTTGGTGGACTTGACCACTGATTGGTTATAACTTCAATTCTGTGTGTTGATTTGGAAAATAATGTAATCGCTACAACTTTAACTGTGACACAATAGATGAAACATGTACGAATGGTTTTTCAAAATTTTCTTCTCTTCTCGTCTTTCCTTATGCTTCCACCGCCCCCTTATTTTTATTCAATACCCCACAATTGCACCTGAGGCTACTACCATGCCCCCCCCCATTCATTCCAGCACCCCCAGGTGGTGGTATCGCCCACTTTGGGAACCTATGGGTCACAAAGTTGGAGGGCAGGAGAGAAGATGTAGGGGTAGCTATGTGGCGTCACAGGGCACAGAGCACCCAGCACGGAGTCAGGAAGATGAGTCTTCCTGAGGGCAATTCCCAGCCTCAGCCACTTACTAACTGACTCTGGGCTAGTCACTTCACCCTGTTTGTGATCTCTGCCAAGAAAACCCAAATGGGGTCATGAAGAGTTGGACACGATTGAAAGTGACTGACAGAGAGAATATACCCTGACCAGAGGTTCTCCAGCCTAACCCAAGGCCTCCAATGAGGGGGAGCCCCTTCTACTCGGGGACAGTCTGATTGTCAGGAAGCTTTTCCTCAGACTGAACCTACATCTGTGGTCCCCTCCATGTTCTGCCCTGGGGGGCCAAGCAGAAGGAGGCTTGAAATAATATGTGCAAAGTGCCTAGCACAGTGCCTCCTACACAGTAGGTACTATATAAATGCTTATTCCCTTCCCTTTTCCCCATTCCTTAGCCCATGGAAGTCGTTTTTGATCCTGACCATCAACCAGGATGATCTCTCTCTCTCTCTCTCCTGGCTTTGACATGTGAAGACGGGCTAAGTAAGCATGCTTGGCCCACCTCCATCCAAGTCACTGATAAATGTTGTGCAGGTCAGATCCCAGGGGCACCCACTCCCGTAAAGGCCACCCTCGCAATGCTAACGCTCTTTAGATCCAGTCATTGAACCACCGGTGCAAAATTCACCTGCGATATCAGAGGTGTGTCATACTCTTCTTGATGAGGAAACTGAAGGTCAGAGAGGTCCCACAGCTTGCTCTGGCTGGGTCCCAGAGCTACAAAGTGTCAGGGCCAGGATTTTGCCTCAGAAAATGCCAGGATCACAGACAGGTTGACTGGCAAAACTGATGAGGGGGGAGCTCACACTACTTAGGAATCGATCCAAATGTCACATCTTCCCCCCGAATATGGCCTGTATCAAACCTGATGAAAACTGATTCTCTCTAGTGAGTAATGAGTGACAAAAAGGGCACGAACAAAAAACCTTTTTATTTGAAATTAGAGAAATTTTTAAAAAGCTCCTTCAAAAAATGTCATTAGTCTATGCTGTTTCCATCAATGCAAATCCTAATCTCTACACACCCTGACAGCCCATTTTCCAAACTGCTGTTGAAAAATAATAATAATAATAATAATAATAATAATGATAATAATAATCTCCTGGTGGCCAACTTGTAAATTTGTGAACAAATCTGTGTTATTATTGTTTCGTGTTTAACTCTACGTTTTTCTTCTATCAAAATGGTTTGATGAGAAGGGGAAACAGCAGGGATCACAGAACGCAAACCCCTGGGCTCCAGTCCAGGCTCTGACACTTTGTAGCGTGACCTTGGGCCGTCCACGGCCTCAGTTTCCTCCTCTGTAAGCTAAAGAGATAACCTTGAAGATCCCCCAGATCTGAGGCCTCACTGTGGGGCACAGCAATAACCAGGCCACATTGCTAACTAACTCCGCTAGCCTTTAATAAGGCCAGAGAGAGCTCGAGGTGCTCACCGTTGTCGTTTATGGCTGTGTGGATCCCTTCCGTGCTCAGAGTGTCCATGCGGCCGCTGGGCGTGACGGGGCTCGAGCTCACTCCCAAACAGGGCCAGTCTAGCAAAGGACTGACGGGGCATTTAATCTTATAAGTCAGAGCCGGGTCTGGGGACGGGCTTGCCGGCACTGGCATTGCGCAGAGGTGGGGCATGTCCCCGGATGGGCCCTCTGGTGACACTGCCCCGCCGGCAGCGGCGGGATGCACCTGGGGCACGGGCTCACAGTGCAAAGGCAAGTCTTTCAGCGGATCTAACAGCCTCTTCTCCCCATAGTCGGAGGCATCTTCAGTTAGACTGTCCTCCTTGAATCGGGCCTGAACCTCCACAGGGGGTGGGAGGAGGCTCCTGCCTGTGACCTCAGGCCAAGAGTCTAGTTTTCTGCCCATCTCAATCTGACAGAGACCCTCCCTCTCCTGGCTGGGCTCGATCCCACCGCCCTGGGGCCGGAGCACCAAGTTGGGGACGACGGGGTCCAGGAAGCCTTCCACCTTGCAGGCAGGCCCTGAGGGGCTAGCGGGACCTTTAGTCCGAAAGCCGGGGCCCGCCCCGTACAGCGGCTCGGGGAGCTCAGAGCCTGTCTTGTTGAAGAGGGCAAAGATGTTATGGAAGAGGCGCTCCTGGGGGCGCCGCCGGAGGAGGGGGTGCTTCGTGGTGGCCAGCTCCTTGCGGGCGTCAAGGATCATGTTCTTCCACTTTTTGCGGACCTCTTCGGGTGTGCGCTGCACAAGGGGGTTCAGCGAGTTCACGGCCATCGTGATCTCCTCCCAGGCTTGCTGCCGGTCCGTGGTGTTGCGGTAGCGGCCAGTCTTGGGGATCAGGATGTCCTTCCGCAGGCTGAACTCTTCCAAGATCACAATCTTCTCTTCCTCAGAAAACTTAATTCTCTTTGGCTTGGATGTCATCATGGTGACCCTGAAAAAAAGTCCAGCACATCATTCCCCTAAGCACTCGCTCAGCCACAAACAGCCGCCAACCCAGGGCACAGACAGACCGAACCCCAACCTCAGAGGAGGCTGTAAGGACCAGCCTCCTGCCTGGAGTCCTTTTGACAGCCTCTCCTTGAAATCCTGGGAAGGACGCCAGAGGCAGCCCCACTTTCCTAAACTGTAAGTCTGCCCATGTCCCTCGCCTACCCAGGGAAATCCAGCCGCTCCCTATCGCCTTTAGGACCCCACAAAGACTCCTCTGGCTGGCGCCTGGAGCCCCCCAAACTTGGCTCCAATCCATCTTCCCAGCCTTGGCTCTACCGTCTAATGTCTCACCTGGGCTTCTCGGCATCTCTCAAGGGCCAGGCTCGGGGGTCACCTGAGGGGTCATATTCGGGATGGGAAGGCCTCCCTGATCCCCTTCCCCACCCCTCCTACAACCTGTTTTTGTCCACGCCCATCCGGGGGTCCCCAACGGCCTACTGACCCCTCCTGGGCACTGTGACTTTGGGGACCCCGGGGGGGGTGCACCAGGTGGTCCTGCCCACCCCCCAGCGTCAGCTCCCAGAGGGCAGGCATGGCTTCGCTTCGGGTGTTTCGGGGTACGGTCCACACCTAACCAGACGGGAGGGTGGGAAGTGGGGAAGGGAGGAGGAGGAGGAGGAGAAGGAGGGCGGGGCGAGAGTGGGTGGGGCACTGGACTGAGTTCAAATCCAACCTCGGACGCCTGCTAGCTGTGGGATCCCGGGCAAGCCTGTTTGGGTCTCAGTTTCCCCATCTGTAAATGCGGGCCATCACCGCACCTACCTCCCAGGGTGGTCGTGAGGGTCGCATATGACTAGAACGAGGACGGTTAAGCCCAGCGAGGGGTCCCCTACACGGCCTCCCTCGGGGGTGCGGCTCCGGGCCTCCGTGGGTGGCCGACGAGGGCCCCGCCGCGCAGCCCACGCGCGCCCTCCCACCCCACCGGAGGCGAGGGCACCCGCCCCCACCAGTGGCCGCGGCCGGCGCGCTCCCAGCCGGTGTCCGGGCAGCGCGCGGCGATGACGTCACGGAAACGCCATCGCTCCGCGCCGACGACCGCAGGAGATTGGGAGGGGCAGGCGTGGTTGCCTAGGGAACGGGGAGGCGTGGCCGGCGCCCACGTGGGCCCCCCCAGCTACGGCGGTTCCGCGGGGCCAATCCTCCCACGCCCCTGGGTAGGCGGGGCTGCGGGCTGGAAGGTTTTGGCTCCCTGGCCACGCCACCTCTTAACCCTCCGCACCCCAGCGTCCCTCTGGTCAGACGAGCAGTTACTAAGCACCAGCTAGGTGCCAGAAACTGTTAAGCACAGGGGGTACAACGAAAGGCAAAGCACATGCCCTGCCCTCGATGAGCTCCCAGTCTGATGGGGAGACAACATGTAAAGGAGATAGATTCAGAGTATTATTGGAGATAACAGGAAAGACGCTAGAATCCGGGAAGGCTTCCTGTAGAAGGTGGCCGGGGAGGTCAGTGGTCAGAGCAGAGGTGGGAGAGCGTCCAGACATGGGGGACAGCCGGGAGGGCCCGGGTACTGAATCAAAGAGGACGTGAAGGGCAATGAGGTGGAAAGGGAGGAAGGCATTTTGTATCTGATCCTGGAGGCCATAGGGCGCCACGGGAGTTTAGTTTTTGAGTAGGGAGGTGACATCATGAAATCTGTGGTTTAGGAAGATTATTTTGACATTTGGGGGATGGACTGGACTGAGGACAGAGTTGAGGCAGGGAGATCAACCAGAAGGCTGCTGCAATAGTCCGGAGTGAATGTGTTTTTATGTAGATAGCTGTGTGTGTGTGTGTGTGTGTGTGTGTGTGTGTGTGTGTGTGTGTATGTGTGTGTGCGTGTGTATTCATATATAAAAAATGTTTTGAAGGTAGAATTAACAGGCCTTGGTAACAGGTTGAATATGGGGATGAGAGAGAGGAAGCAAAGCTGACCCCTAGACTGTGAGGCTGGGTGACTGAGAAGAGAAATTAGGAAGATGAGAGAACTTCTGGAGAAAGGCAGTGAGTACAGTTTTGGCTCTGTTGAGTTTAAGACTTCTACAGGACATCCAGGTCAAGATAGGCAATTAGAGATGTGAGTCCAGATGTCAGGAGAGGTTAGGCCTGGATCAGTCGACCTGGGAATTTTCAGCTTAGAGCTCCGAACTGAGTCTATGGGAGATCACCAATCCAAAGAGTCTACAGGGAGAAGAGGGAGTAGGACAGAACCTGGGAGGGCCCCCACGGTTAGTGGTCATGAGCTGAATGAAGATCTACCAAAGGAGACTGAGAAAGAGCAGTCAGGTAGAAGGAAGAAACAGGACGTCATGTAGTAAGAGGCAGAGAAGCTAAATTGACAAGTATTACTTTGTATGCAATTTGTATTTCCTTCATTACGTATATGTTGTATCCTCCGACTAGTAGAATGTAAGCTTCTTGAGGGCAGTTTCTTTTTATCTTGAATCCCCAGCACCTTGTATAGTGTTTGTTCCAGAGCAGGTGCTTAATATATGATTGTTACATCAAATACTATGGTGCGAGCAAAGTATAAAAACTGATATGACAGAAGCAGCTCTCCAGGAGCCGCCAATCTAGTCGAAAGACCTGTGCCACTTAGCTGGGCAAGTCCTTTTCCCTTTCTGAGTCTGTTTCCTACTCAGTAAAATAAGAGTGGTCTCTAAAGGCCCTTTAAATTCTAAATGCCTTCCAACCATTCTTGAGAGCAATTTGGAACTATGCCCAAAGTGCTACAAAATTGCGCATACCCTTTGTCCCAGCAATGGCACTTCTAGGGCTGTATCCCAAAGAAATCGTACAAATGGGAGAAGGACCCACATGTGCAAAAATATTTACAGCAGCTCTTTTTGTGGTGGCAAAGAATTGGAAATTGAGGGGATGCCCATCGATTGGGGAATGGCTGAACAAGTTGTGGTATATGAATGTATTGGAATACTATCATGCTATAAGAAATGATGAGCAGGTGGACTTCAGAAAAACCTGGAAAGACTTGTAAGGACTGATGCTGAGTGAAGTGATCAGAACCAAGAGAACACTGTGCACAGTAACAGCCACATTGTGCAATGACTGACTTTGATAGACTTAGCTGTTCTCAGCAATGCAAGAATCTAAGACGACTCCAAAAGACTCACGATGGAAAATGCTATCCACATCCAGAAAAAGAACCTTGGAGTCTGGGTGCAGATGGAAGCTGACTATTTGCTCTGCTTTTCCTTTGTTGTTTTGTTTTATTGCTTCATTCCTGTGGTTCCTCCCATTAGTTCTAACTGTTCTTTACATCACGACTAATGGGAAAATGTGCTTAATAAGAATGTATAAGTAGAACCTATATCAGATTGCACACCATCTTGGGCGGGGAAGAGGAGAGGGATGTGGAGAAAATTTAAAACTCAAAACCTTATGGAAGTGAATGTTGAAAACTAAAAATAAATTAATTATTTAAAAAAATAAGTTCTAAATGCCAGGACCTCACAAAATTGCTGTTGCTGATCTGGCCTTAGGGGATCTGCAGAATGGGCCTGTTGTCTTTTTAGACGCTGTCTGTCCCTTCAATGTATCTCTCTCTCCTCCGTCTCTCTCAGAGGCTCTTTCTGTTACTATTACAGTTTATTAAGTGTCTGCCATGTGCCAGGCAGTGTGCTAAGTGCAGGATATACAAAGAAGGATGAAAACAATCCCTTTCCTCACTGAGGACACAGTGTAACGGGGGAGAGACTCCGGCAAACAAGTAAGTACGAACGAGATGCAGCCAGGATAAACTGGAGAGAGTCACCAGAGGGACGCCGGCAATGAGAGGGATGGGGATGTCCCCCCGGCCTCAGCTCCTTCCATTCCGTCTCGCCTTCTCTCTTCCCCCAGCACTTAGCACACAGTAGGCGCTTGATGGCTCTTTCTCAGACCGTTCCTCGGTCTCCGAGTCCCTGTGTCTCTGTCTCCACGAGTGGTCGGGCTGTCCTTGCGTCTCTGATCAGGTCCCTGTCTCTCTCTCCCCGGGTCCCCGGTGTCTCTGCATCCTCCCGTCTCCCAGACTCGTCCCCGCCCCCGCCCCCGCGTGGGAAAGAGCCCTCCCGACCGCAGGAGGCGCTGTCCGGAGGCGCCGGCGGGGGGAAAGGCTGGGCTCGGTGGCCCCGGAAGCCGGAGCGGAGCCGGGAGTGCACGCTGGAGCCTCGCTCCCAGCGAATCACGGACCACCCCCCCCCGGAGACCTCCCGACAGCGTGGGACCGCCGCCGCCGCCGCCTCCATGGGCGCAGAGCACCAGGCCCGCGCCTGCTTAGCCAGCTGCGGCCCCACCACGCCGCCCGCCCTGCGAGAACTGCTGCGCATGCTCCAACGATTCGCCGGGTGAGCCGGGCCCCGCCCCGAGCCACGAGGCCCCGCCCCTGAGCTCGAGCTTCTTCCCCTCTAGATAGATCCCTCCCCCAAACACTTCGCACCCTTCCCTTCAGGCAAGCCCCGCCCCCTTAGCAAACAAGGCCCCGCCCCTATGGAGAGCAGGACCCCTAGACAGGGCGGGGCCAAGAACTTGGCCACACCCCAAGGGGGGAGGTGAGGCCCTGCCCCTGGAGGAGGCCAGGGCACGCCCCCACCTTGGGGAAAGGGGTCTCTGGGGTTTGGGGTTTGGGGTTTGGGTGGGAGTGAAAGGGGGAGGCCCGCGGCCGCTGCGTGTCTCTGTCTTTTTCTGTGAACCTCTGTCTCTGTCCCTGTCTCTGCCTGCGTCCTTGGGTCTACATCTGTCAAGCAATAAACATGTATTAAGCACCTACTGTACGCAAAGTCTTTGTCTACCCTTCACTTTGTCCCTGCTGCCCACGGTGTCCCTGCCTCAGTCTCCGTGGGTCACCGAGTCTCTGGTCTTGACCTCTCTCTGTCTCCCTGATTCTCCCCATCCCCCTTTGTCTCTGGGTCCCCATATCTCCCTGAGTCTCTCCATCCCCCCTTGTCTCTGGGTCCCCACGTCTCCCTGAGTCTCCCCATCCCCCTTTGTCTCTGAGTCCCTGTGTCTCCCAGAGTCTCTGCCTCTCCCCTTATCTCCATCACCTCTCCATCCCCCATCCTCCCTGCCCCCTGCAGTCATCTCTGGGCTTCCGGAGGCCAGTGGGCTGCCTCGCCCTTGCACAGGGAGAGAGACCACTCCCTCCCTCCACTAAGAGAGCATGGCATTGCCCCACCCCCCCACACCCAGCAGGGTCAGGCTCTACTCTTGGGAAGGGGTGCACCGGGAGAGCTCCCCACCCCATCCCCAGATCACTGGGATGTACAGGGAGGGATGTGGGGGCTCAGGTAGATGTTTGGTTTGGGGTTTGGGTATGCTTGTATGAGTGAGTTGGGGTGGGTAGGCTGGGCCAGGGTTTGGGGAGTGATTTGGGGAGACATTGGGGCCCTGATGAAGCCTTCAGTTTTAGGTCTGGGCTGTGCTGGGGGGTGGAGCTAGGACTGACCCCCCAATATTGGGGGGGCTCTGCATTCTGGCAGGTTCAGGTGGAGTTGGGGACTTCTTCCCCCTGCTTCTTGCCCCACGGGGGTGGTGGGGGGGTGATGCCGTCACACTGACCTGCCCCGCGGGGGTAGGTGGGGGGTGATGCCGTCACGCTGACCAGTCTGGGCTGGGGAGGGGCCCAATGCTGTCATGCTGACTGGTCCCTTCTCCCGTCTCTGCAGAGCCTCTGGCCGGCGGTGCCAAGAGCAGAGCCTGGCAGAGGCTGGCAGGCTCCTGCCTTCCCTGAGCCAGGCCTGGGCTGAGCTGGATGCTGCTGAGGCCCAGCCCTTCCTTCGCTGCCTCCTCAGCTGTCAGCTGGAGGCCACAGGCAGCCTAGGGGCCTTCCGCAAGCTGGAGAAGGTGGGTGGAGCCAGGCAGCCCAGGCTGGGCACTGACTGTGTGGGGGTGAGAGCGGGGTGGAGGAGTGGGATTCCAGGTCCTCAGCCCTCCTCTCCTCACCTTCGTGGCCCCAGGCAGGACCCCTTCAGGGTTCTAGAGCTGAAGGATGCTTGGGAGACCAGCCAGTCTAACCTGGTCATTTTACAGAAGAAGCTGAGGCTCAGAGAAGAAGGACTCCTGGCCACTTAGGTGGCAGAGGCAGAATTTAAACCCAGTGCCCTGGGCCAGGCTCCGAACTGTGTCTGCCCTCAGGGTACCTACATTTCAGGGGGATGCCTCTTGGTGTGGTGGAAGATCTCTGGGTTTGAGTGTATCCTTTGATAGCTAGGTGACTGTGTGATCCCTCAACCTCTCTGAGCTTCAGTTTCATTACCTGTAAAATGGGTTGATAATACCTGTATGACCTTCCTCCTAGAGGTCATAGTGAAGTTATATGAGAGAGGGTGGGCCAGGTACTCTGTGAACCTTCCAGTGCTAGAAGAGATTGTGCAAGAGATAAAGGAAAGAGCCTGAGGAAAATTTGAGTGGGCACGACAGCCCTTTCATCCTGGGAGGAGGTGCCATAGGAGCTGCAGCTGGACGGGAGACAAGGCTCTGAGAGTCAGAGAGGAGGAGGGAACAGCACAGGCAAATGCCCTGAGGTGGGAGACAGAGCCCACAGTGCAGAAGGGGAGTAAAGAGACAGGGAAGGGCAGGCAGGTGGGTGCCTGATGGTGGGGAGCTCCTGGACAGGAGCCTTTTTGGGCCAGAGGCTTGATCAAGGGCCCCCCAACTCCCAGGCTGGCCCTATTTTTTGTGGAATTTCACCCCCATTCTCTCTTCCTTCCTTCCTACAGATTTTGGCCACGTTGGCTGCAGGCGGAGAGAGCATGGTGTCTGAGGAAGTGGCCAGGATGCTGGGCAGCTTGACCCAAGGCCAGCAGGTGAGGGGGGCTTGAGTGGGGCAGGGTGGGTGATGACAGGGCCCGAGTGTCCAGGATGCTAGCCCTCTGACAGGAATGGCCTGGGCTGCTGGGGGCTTCCTCCTACCCCCGGGGGTCTTGGGGCTGACCGTTCTGTGGACGCTGATGCCTGCCCTTCCCTTATAGGCCCTGGCTCTGGGAGATCTTCGCACAGGTCAGTCCCTCACCCACGTCCCCACGGACTCATCTAGCCTTACCCCTTTATTTTACGGAGGAGGGAGCTGAGACTGTTGTCGAAGGAGGGGATGGCAGGTTGGGGGTTAATCCCCTGGGGCCTCCCAAGGCCCAGCCCAGGATCCCTGCCTCCACACCATCTTGGAGATTGGGATCACATCACTGGGGATGGGGACCAGAGGGTGAGCAGAGTTCCAGGAACTCTTTGTCCTAGGAACCCAGGGCTATCTACCTTCTGACCCTCTGCCCTGGGAAGCCTGGAAGGGAGGCTTGGGGAGTAGCCCCAGCGGGATGTTTGGAGGGGCTCTTTGGGGGCACTGGGGATCCCTCATTTGCCCACTCCCTGACCTCCTGGGCCCCTCTGCCCAGTGTGCCTATTTCTGGAGGAGAGCACCCTGGCCAGAGAACACTGGAGACGCGCCCTGAATCCCCTGCTGGGCAGTGCCGCCTCCACGCTGGCCTCTGTGTTAGAGGAGCCTGCCACAGGACCCTCAGAGCGGGCCTGCCACGCGGTGAAGGTGGGTGTGCTTCCTTGGTCCCCATCTTCTCCCCATAGCCGCGCCCTGGAAAGCTGGGCTGGGTGGGCCGTGCCTGAGCGGTTGTGGTGGAGAGCCCCTAGGGCTCCGGGGGCCCCTGCTCCTGCTTACCAGCCTTCTACTGCCAGTGGGCCACAGGACGTGGGGCGGGGGCTGGCTGATGATCACGCTGGGTGACGGACGTGCTCTCTGCCCGCAGCTGGCCCTCCAGCTTTTCCAAACCATGCCGGGGGAGGTGGGTGTCCTGCTCTGGAGTCCAGCGGGCAACATGGAAGCCCTGGCAAGCATTCTTCAGTCGCTGGTGCAAGTCATCATGGGAAAGGTGATGAGACCCTTTCTGAGGCTGAGAGCCAGCCCTGTGACCCAGGTGATGGGGAGGGGGAGCCACTGACTGCCTTCACGAGAACACTCTCCTGCTTCCACTCTTGTCCCTCCTGCAGGTGGCCAACAAGGATGCCCGCCTTCTGGCGGGCACGGCCCTAGGCATGCTGGTGAACACTGCTCCCACCCTAGAGGCAGGAGCCAGGGCTGTGTCTGAGCTGCTGGGGCTGCTCAGCCCAGGTGAGGCTATGAGACAGGGGGGTTGGGGGGGAGAGAGAGGCCAGCGTGGTCTCTCCCCTTGTCCCCAGGTCCAAGCTGGGGCAGTCTCCTTTGCATTCACTGTGGCCTAGTGGCTGACACCAAGGGCAGGCAGGGCCTGGGGGAACAGCAGGGCTCTCTGCTCAAGGTGCCATAGTCTCATTGAGGAGATGGAAATGTCTCTAGGAAGGAGGCCCTGACTTGAACCTCAGGGAGCTGAGTTCTGGTCAAGAGAGGAGCTGATCTGTGTTAAACTGGGCTTGGCCCCAGCCCAAAGGAGCAGGGAGTGGTTGGAGGAAGGAGAGAAGCCCTCCTCTGAGCAGATTTGTTTGTCCTTAGACCCTGGGGAGCAGACGCTTGGGGGACTCCAATTGGCTGTGCCCCCTGTGAACACTGACGGGCTGGAGTACCTGGTGCTAAGCCGAGGCCTTCTGACCTCCTGTAGGAGGGAGATCCTGACCTTCAGGCCTCCTGGTGGGAAGGTAAGTCCCAGCCTGGGCTTGGCAAGCCTGGAGGAGGTGGTGGCGGCATGAGGACTGAGGGATGAGGAGTCAGAGGCCGAGCGGGGCCTGTCGTGGCCTCAGACCCCGTCAGGGATTTGCCAAGTTCTGCCCTGCCTGTGCTCGGCTCTCCCAAAGGACCCTGTCCCTCTGTTCCTGGGCCCTAGGCCCACTGCAGCCTGCGTTATTCACCCACACCACCCCCAAATCCCCAGGCCTGCCTGCTGCTCAGAGACCTGATGCCCCTCATTGGCCCAGGCTGGAGTGAGAAGAACATGGACTACCGGGCCTCCCTCCTGCAAGGTGAGGACTCCTGGGGGGCAGCTCCTGGTGTGTGAGCAGGGCCTGTCGGTGATGGAGGCCTGGGGCTGGTGGGAGAATGGCAGGGGCCTAGGTTGGGGTTGGGAAGCAGAGGAGATGATTCTGAAGGTCTAGGGAGTGGACAGAGAGGCCGCCCTCCGGGACCATTCTGTGCTGGGCTTTGGGAAGGGGATGAATTCCAGGGGCCTTGATACTGGAGAATGGTCCTAGAGGTGCTAGGGCTGGAGGAGCTGTGAGCCTGGAAACAAGGGGATGCTTCCAGAGGACCGTGGGCTGGCAGGGGCACGGAGCACAGGGCGGTCACAAGGTTTAGACAGAGAGAGACCAGAGGCCGGGGCCACGAGGGCTCAGGGCCGCCTGGCTTGAGAGAGGAGCCGAGCACCTGCTGCCCCTTCCCAGCTTTCTCCCTGTGGCTGCGGCGGGTACGTGAAAGCGCCCCGGGCATCTGGACTGGGCGACTGCTGAGCGGGGCCTCCCTGGGGGCCCAGCAGCTGACTCAGTTCATCTGGAGCAACACCAAGAGCCCGGTAGGGAGCCCCCACCTCGCCATCTCCAGCTGCCTGGGACTGGGGCCCGGCCAGGCTGGGTCTGGTCTGTCTCCTCCCTGTATCTGAGTCCCTTGTCCAGAGAAGTCAGCCAGACCGCAAGGCCTATTCTTATCCCTTGGGCCGCCCGGGGAAGATGGAGCCAGAGACACTGTCCTTGGCATGCTGCTGGGAGGGGCATGGTCTGATACTGTGTGTGGTGGAAATGCCCCTGGCCTGGGACCCCCGAAACCTCAGCTCAGACCTCAGCACCGGGAGCTTACGGAGGCCCCTCCCTTATCTGGGCTCAGGGTGCAGGTCCAGTGTCTGTAAAATGAGGAGGGGGTGAGGTGATGAGAGGTGCCTCGAAAGCCCCTTGTGGGGTGATGAGATGAAACTCTAGAAGGAATGCAGCCTCATCATTTTACAGATGAGACAACTGAGGCCCAGATTGGGGAGGGGATCCCCAAGGTCACACAGCAATATAAGCCGTCTCTGCCCTGGGAGGGTGGACACCACAGTTAGGTCCAGGGAGTTAGGGACTGGAGAAATACCAAAGCCTGGATGGGGAGCAGGGCAGGGCCCTGTGCGGTGGCTGAGGAAGTAGGCGACCATCTCCCTGGTGCCCAGTGGGGAGGATAAGGAAGTAGGTGGCCTTCTCCGTGGCACATGCAGTCTGTGCCTTTCCCCACAGCTGGAAGGCCTGTCTGAGGCCACCCTGCGCTCCTTCAGCCTCTTTCTGGAGCTCTATGGGAAGGAGTGTGAATACCTCGGAAATGATGCAGAGCGGCCTCTCTATGATGAGTTCCTGGAGAGGGTCCGGGCTCTGCCCTGGCCAACCAAGGCCCGTTACCCAGCCCTCTGTGCCCTGCTGCCCTTTCTGGGCTCTGAAAGAGTGAGTGCTCCCTTTTTTGGGCCAGTCAGAACAGTGGGGAGGAAAGAAGAGGAAGACTGGGAGGTGGGGAAGCCCTGGGGAGGCTGACTGCAGGGAGGGAGCCCTCAGCTGCTCAGGGGTGGTACTAGGAGTAGAAGGCCAGGGTACGCCCCAGCCTGGGAGTGCAGCATTTCGGCACCACGGCGAGGGGTGAGCGGGGCCAGAACTCAAGCTGAGGGCCCCTGGAGCCTTCCTGGGCTCCATTGAAGGGGGAGGCCAGTGGAGCTTCCTGCTAGTGATTGGTAGACAGGCACAAGGTGACTGTGATCTAGGGGGGTCTTTGGGCTTCAGGGAGGGTGTGAGTGGGAGCTTTCCCAGCCCGCGGCACTCCTTGGACCATAGCAGCCACATCCTGTGGCCAGCAGGGCCCTGGCTGGAGCGGGCAGAGGCCACAGTCCTGTTTTCCTGGGGTTATCTTGGTGGGCCTGGGAAGCAGGGCACTGTGGTCAATGTGGGTGCTGTTCCTTTAGGTCCTGGCTGTGCTCCCGGAGCTCCCAAAGCACCTCTTGTTCTGCCTCTCCACCAATCCCCTGAGTCCCCCAGCAGCCGACACATACTGCTGCTTCCTCCGGGCCCAGCGGGGAGAGTGGGCCACTGCGGAGGCGGGGGCCAGCGAGGGGGCGCTGGCTGAGCGGTGGGCCCGGCACTGGCTGCCCGCTGTGGCTGAGGCCCTCCAGTCCCCGGTGGTGGCCCTACAGGCCCGGGCAGCCAGCTCCCTGCTGCCTCTCACCCTCCAGCTCTTCCCGGCCTCTGCTGGACTCCTGGAGAAGGCTTTTGCAGGCCCAGGGCTGGCCTGCCTGCGGGGGTGGGCAGCCCTGCAGAAGACTCGAAAGGAGCTGGGCCAGGGCCCCCCAGCAGTCAGCCAGAACCCAGGCCGCCTTGCCACGTGCCTGGCATGTGGGGATGAGGCTGTGCGCCTGGCGGGGGCCAGCCTCTTGTGTGGGGGGCCTGGCTCTGCCCAGGCCCCTGGCGCGAAGGAGCTGGCCGTCGTCCAGGACTTCCTATGGCTGAACCTCAGTGGCTCATCAGCATCCTTCCGGCAGCTGCTGCAGGCAACTGTGAGCAGGCTCCTCGGCCGACTTCGGGACGGTGCGCTGGCTGCGCTCCGTAGCCAAGGGGCAGCAGGGTCAGGCCCACCCCCAGAGCCTCTCTTGCTCACTGGAGGTGAGCCTGGAGGCCCAGCCCCCTGTACTGCTGAGGACTAGGGGATCTCTGAGAAATCGTGTTCCCTCTGACCCTCCTTGTCCTCTCCTGAGTGCTAGGGCAAGGGGATTAGAGGCCCAAGGAGGTGGGCTTTGGGCTGGGAGGGTTGGGGCGACCTAAGGAAGTAGGCTTTTGGGGTGGAGGGGATTGGGCGGCCTGGGGAGTTGGAGAGGCTGGGGACCCTGGGTGGATAGGCCTTGGGGAGTGGAGGCTTGAGGGAGTAGACTCTGGGCCAGGGGGGTTGGGAGCTTGGGGGGGTGGGCTTCGGGCCCAGGGATGGGGGCCCGAGGATGCAGGCCAAAAGGGAATAGGGGGGCCTGGGGAAGTGACCTCTGGGCTGTGATTGGAGTCCTGGGGTGGCAGGCTCCTTCTGGGGTCTTCCAAGCCTCCCCTTGTCCCCTGCAGACTTCGTGGAGTGGCTGCTACAGCTCAGTGTCTCCCAGCTGGGCCCAGCCTCGGGCTTCCAGCGCCGAAGGACTGCCCTGCTCCTGCTCACGGCCCTGCTGGTGACGTGCACGGACAGCTGGAGCCCTGAGCGGAAGAAGGGGCAGCCTCCCCGTAAGTCCTGACTCAGCCTTGCCCCCTGGGGACCCCCCCGCCCCGGGCCTGGCTCTGCTGACCCTCTTTCTGCTGCTTCCTCCCGGGGCCGACCTCCTACTCTACTGATCCCTCACCCCTCCATTGCCCCACAGCCAACATGGCGGCTCTGCTGACCTGGGCCAGGCGCAGCGGCCACTGGGACTTCACCTCAAGGGCCACCTTACTGGCCTTGCTCAGTTGCCTTCAGGACGGCACCGGTGAGGTAAGGGGCCTGCTGTCGTGGGATGGGGAGGGGCACCAGCTGGGCCGCCCACAGCCTGGAGGTGGACAGGAAGAAGAGGACGAGGAGACGGGACCCCAGCATCGGGGAGCTCTGAGTCTGGTTTCGTAGTGAAGACCCCCCCAAAGGAATGCTGAGCCCCTGAATGTTTGCAGAGCCCTTCTGACGCAGGGAAGCCCTGGCTCTGGAGCCTAAGACCCAGGGTTCAAATCCAGTCCCTTCCTTCCTTCCCCTTTCTGGGCCTCAGTTTCCTGCTCTGTAAACACAGAAGGGGCCTGGACTCAGTGGCCTCTGGGTCCCCTCTGGCTCAGGCACTAGGAGCTAAGAATGATGTTGTCTAGGAAGCAGGTGGGGTTGCTTGGTCCAGACCTGTGAGGTCATTCAGGCAGGTAACTCCCTGCGTGGAGAGTCCTTTCACTGGCAAGGCTTGGCAACAGCTTGGATATTGGGGCGGGGGAGGGGGGGTGAGTGCACAAGGGGGGAGCTGAGGGTGAGCCTGGGGGAGAATGAGGACGCCTTCCATAGAAAAAGGGGCATTCAGAAAGGGGGGGCTCAGATGAGTTCCATCTTGGATGTGTTGACTCCAGGGCGCTGTGAGGCGCCAGCAGAGAGCTCAGGGCTGGTCCAGTAGACCTGTGATCTGTCCAGATCTGGGATGAGAAGCAGGGAGACAGTTTAGAAGGATGCTGTGATGACTTTGGGTGCGGATGAGGACACCCTGCCCTTGTCCCCAGGCAAGCCCAGCAGAGCCTGACCCTTGCTTCTCCTCCCCCAGATCCGGGAGCCAGCTGCCAGCCTTCTGCTTCTCTACTTTCCTCCTGCTCTGCCCATAGACCTTGCTGGAGCCCTGTTGGAGCGGGCATGCCAGGCCTTGAGCAGTGCCCGTGGGCAGGAGGTGGAAGCTGGGGCCCTCATGATGCAGACTTTGCTGCAGAAGTAAGGCTTTGGGATGGAGAATGGGGGCAAGGTGGACTCAGGGACTCAGACTGCCCTTCCTTTCTTCCCCTCCCCCTGGGGCCACTTCAGCCTTCAGGGTCCCCCTTGGCCCCAGGCCCCCCTTTCCTCCATCCTGTCTCTGAGGTCCACTTGGGGTGAAGGGCGGTGGTGGGGCTCGGTGGTCTTGGCCAGGGCTCCCTGAAGCTGGAGGGAACCAGAGTTGTCTTCTCTGTCCTGAGCCCTGGGACCGCAGACAGGCAATGTACATTCTCCTCTTTGTCAGAGTGGACAGCGACACCCTCCAGAACATAGTCCCCAGGCCCAAGGAGGAGGGCCCAGTCCTGGGCTGCCCCAGCCTCATTCTCATCTCCTACCTTCTCCGACTGCTGCAAGAGCGTCTCACTGCAGCCCAGCAAGACCTGCTTCAGGCTGCCTGTCTCCAGCCGCTCCATGGTGGGGCTCCTGGGGGATGGGGAGCCTCTAATCCTGTTGTCTCCCCCCGCTCCTGGGTCTCCCATTGGGAGTTCTCTCTCGCCCTCATTCTGCCTCTCCCTACGCCCCGTTCTCTTTCCTTCTCACTGTGTCTTCTTCACTTTCCCTACTGTGCTGCTCAGTTCTCTCTTCCCTAGTAGGCCCCTGTTTTTCTTTCCCAATCTATGTCCTTCCATTGTCTTTGTTCATCACTGAGTGCCGCTTTTTCTCTCTTACCTGTCTGTGCCCCTGCTTCTCTCTCTTCACCATTGTATGCCTGTGTTTCTCTCTCTTCTCACTGTTGAGTGCCCCCACTTCTCTCCTCACCTTTGTCTGCCCGTGTTTCTCTCTCTTCACCATTGGATGCACCCATTTCTCTGCTCACCTTTGTGTGTCCTTGTTTCTCTCTCCTCACCACTGGGTGCACCCACTTCTCTGCTCACCTTTGTCTGCCCTTGTTTCTCTCTTTACCATTGGGGGCCCCCACTTCTCTCCTCACCTTTGTGTGTCCTTGTTTCTCTCTCTTGACCATTGGGGGCCCCCCTTTCTCTCCTCACCTTTGTCTGCCCTTGTTTCTCTCTCTTCACCATTGGGTGCCCCCACTTCTCTCCTCACCTTTGTCTGCCTTTGTTTCTCTCTCCTTACCAGTGTGCACCTTTGTTTCTCTCTCCTCACCATTGGGTGTCCCTGCTTCTTTCCCCACCTTTGTGTGTCCTTGTTTCTCTCTCTTGGCCATTGGGGGCCCCCCTTTCTCTCCTCACCTTTGTCTGCC